TCGGAATAAAATTCAATTAAAGTTCTTCTTGCACCTTCGAACCCAACCCCGAGGGTTATCACCCCCAAACCATTGTAATTCTACTTTTGGTATAGTAGAGCCATAACCTATTCTCATAAAATCGGGAGTTAACGGAGTCTCACTAGGCCGACCTTGATAACGAGATTTAACGGTCGCATTCACTCCATGCGATGAACCGAAAGATGACCGAAGCTCTTTTTCGGGTTCATTATTCGCCATCGAGACCGAAATCGTATTCATAATAGCTCCTAGTTGAAGTCGAGTTTGTTGATTTTGCTCTAGCATTTGCTGATCCCGTTCCTACAGTCGTTGATTTTGCTCCAAGCATCTGTTTTATGATTTCTTCCATTCCTTCTTAAAGCACACCTTGGATCTGTTCCTCATGCCTACTGCCGTGCTCCTCCAATACTATGAGTCGATTGTTGTCTACCATGGTTGGACTCGGAAGGTTGCTCGATATCAATTTGTTAAACGAGAAACTTAACAAAGCTTGAATGTAAAGAAGATAGCTAGGAGAGAAGAAGAAAGATGAGGAGAGAGAGGAAGAGAGAGATTCCGAAGAATTAGTTTCTATGATTTCTATTCAACCCCTTCCATAGCTAGCCGTTACAGACCTTTATATGCTAACTAATGCTTAGTCGACGTAACTAATCGTTGCTAGGTCATACATTCCATTACAACTATTGACCACGTCATTTATTAGTTACAATTGAATCCACATCAGCAACTAGCCGTTACTATTAGCTACAACACCTACTTCCATGCTTGTCCTATGCTCGTGACCCTCGCATCTCTCGCCTTGCCGTAGCTCTTAAGCCGTAACAAATTAGTTTTCAAGCAATCGAAACAAGCCATGGTTTGGATGTATGAATTAAAAAAAAAATTACAAGCTATGATTTTACAATTGAAAGGGGCGGATGGTACAAATTCTAAATATACTTGGCTGGATGGGCAATTAAGAAGGAAAGGAAAATTGGTGGTGGGCAATGATTTATCATTAAAATAACAATTACTATCATTTTTCATGATTCAGTTATAGGAAGTCATTCTGGTATTGAGGCTACTATTAAAAGGATATCAACTCTATTGTATTTCTAATGAATAACTAAGAATGTGAGGGAATATGTTCGCAATCGCTCAACTTGTCCACAATGCAAATACGAAAATGTGGCTTCTCTAGGATTATTGAATCCTTTACTCGTTCCCAAAGCAATCTTTTCTAACATTACTAGGAATTCATTGATGGATTACCATTATTTCAAGGTAAATCAATGATTTTTGTGGTAGTAGATTGTTTAACTAAATATACACATTTTATTCCTTTGAGACACCTTTATTCTGCTGTTTTTGTTGCCAAAGCTTTCGTGGACAATGTGTTTAAACTTCATCGATTGCCTAGCAATATCGTGTCTAATAAAGTTTTGGTACAATACGTTTGTGCATTCAATTATTAAAAAGGAGGACGTGATTTCGTCATGATTGTAAAGTAGAAGTAACCACCTTTTTATGGTAGTAGATGTCTCTTTTCGAAACTCTTTATGGTTACCGACCACCTTAGCATTTACCATGCTTTCGTCATGATTGTGAAGTAGAAGCGACGAACCGACCACTTTTAGAGGAGGAGGACATGATAGCAATTCTCAAACATCATTTGGAGAAAGTTCAATATCGTATGAAGCAATTACTATAAAGGGAGAACCGAGAGAATCTTTCACTTTGGAGATTGGATATATTTGAAGTTGTAGGTTTACAAATAAGAATCGATGGTCGCCCGAATTAAGGAATCCGAAGTTCTCTTTGATATAGGTCCTTTCAAAGATCGAGACAAGGTTGGTAATGTTACCTATATATACACTTGATCTTCTAGCTTAAACTCAAATCCTCCCGACATTTCATGTTTCTCGGTTAAAACATATAAATATTCGTGTGAATACACAAGGTATGTTACCAATCTCTCGTTTGATACTTTGTTTTTCCTATTGCTATTTTGGATTGCAAGATAGCCAAAAGAGGTAACTCTGCTAGCAGTCACCAAATTGTTAATTCCATGGTAAAATGGATCTCTATTAGATACTACTTGGTATTTTGCATTTGATCTTGAAAATAAGTTTACATGCTTTCGCCTTCGGGGCAAAGTTCCTCGAGCGAGAGGGTGTTGATGCAAGAGAAGATTATGAAGAATAAAGGCGATAATGGAACCATGTGGAAGGCAGGAAATAATAGGGAGCTTGGTCTTTCAAATGGAAGTAACCAAGTATGAAGCATCAAGGCCGACATTGGAAACACGTGGAAGGCAAAAAAATGGGACACTTGGAAGCATTCAAATAAGCCAACAAGTTGATGGAGGAATCGATCAAGGAATTGGCACGTGAGCACGTGAACGTTAGAGAATGAGCGGAGTTAGTTAGTCACGTGTAGAGTTGGTTATAGATGTTAGTTTTGAGAAGGAAAATTAGGTAGAAACCGATACCATATAAATCATGAATATTTCGTTGTAAATTATTCATTTTGGATCAACATTGAATTTTCTCTTCTTCCTTATTTCTTCTTTTTCTAATTCCTATCTCGATTTCTCTATTTTTTTTCCTCGCTCTTACTATCTCGTTCTTGATTGCAAAACTAATTCTAAAATTAATTTCAATTTTTTAAAGCTTTAGTTGTTATTAATCTCTTTTTAGTCCTAAGAGAATCATTAGAACCTTAGTTCAATTTCTAAAAAGAATTTGGTACCAAAGGATTAAGAAGTGGCAATCGAGGAAAATTTAGAGAGTTGAACCAAAGTAAATTATATATTAGCATGTTTAGTTTTGAGAAAAAATAAATTAGTATCCGTTGTTATAAAAACTAATTATTTAATTTTTTGACTAATGTTTACTCGTGCTTAATTTAATATTATTTTATTTTAAAAAATGTTTTTTTCTCATTAATCTTTTCATAATATCTATTTCTTTTTTCTTTTTTCTTTAAACAAAAAAGAAAAAGAAATGAACAAAAAAAGCTAAGTAATTAGTTTTTGAAATAAAATAACTAAGTAATTCATCTCTCAAAATTAGAAGAACTAATTTATAATTTACTCCACTAAAGATGATTCCTTGTACTAAATTTTGTTTATCCGGAGGAGTTTTGTGCGGTTTTCTTTTAGATATTTTTTTCTTAAAATAGATTTATTGGGTGTATAGGGATTTTGGGTTGGGAGTGAGATATTTTATTGAGAAGTTATTTTTTTTTCTTTTTTTTTTTTGAAACGATTTGTTGAATACTGTGTGTGTGTATGTATATATATTAGCTTATTCTAGATAGGGATGGCAATTTGTTCCGTTTCAACGGAGCCTCGTTTCGATCAACGTAGAGATTCTCCGAGTTGATCGGGGAACGGGCGGAGCGTCCCCTCTGTATTAATTTTGAAAGGGGATAGGGCGGAGATGGTATTTACCCACCCCGCCGGCCCCGTTTGCCTCGCTTCATCCTTGAAATTATAATTATACCCTATATAAAATATGTGACTATTAACTCTTAGAGTTTATTTTTTATATGAACTATTATTATTTACTATTGTTTGAAATTTGATAGTAGAATGGAGCGAGACAAGACAGAAACAAACAAGTAAACGAGGCACTAGTGTCCGATGGGGATCCTCGTCCCCGTTTGGAGAGGGAATAGTATGAGAAATATTGCCCCGAGTAGGGCATGGGGCGAGGACAGACAAAATTTCGGGAGCCAACCCCGCCTTTCTTCATTGACATTCCTAATTACGGACTTAAAAATCAGACTAATCCATTATTATTCCGTCAAATACACAAGATGAAGACAGCTACTCAAAGAGTTTTGTGCATGCAAAAGAACTCGAATCCGAGACCACTTACTTAAGTCATTAGAATCCTATCTATTTAAGTCAATCCTCTTAGGTACGAGTCATAGTTAGACTATCTCGTTGAATATTTTACTATAATTACTTTATAAATAGTTGTTGTCGGAGAAGGTTGGTAATTATTGATGGAACTACTTTTCGCGTAGATTTCGCATAAAACATTTCTTCTATAACAATGAAGCAGGAACGGTCCACTTGGTCTCTATTATTAAGCTAGAATAAGATGAAGATGAAGCCAAGGTTGGACTTAACAGAGTAGATCAAATGTTCCACTCTGTTCACTTTTCTTTCCCTGTTCACTAACTTTAATTATTCAAAAATGATACTTCTTACGGAAGCAGGAAGTTGTGCAGATAATGATAGTGGAAACTAGAAACTGTGAATGGAACACAAACTGGTCTCCATTAAAGAGTTATTGTTAATAACAGCAAAAGCTTTAATGTTTATTTTCGGTTCTAATTGGGTAGAAGACAAAGGTTAAATGGTATCAAGAATTGGAATCAATTTCAAACGAATTCACCAATCTGCATCAAAACACTCAATCGTCCAGTCCGATGGAGTATGTTCAAAAGATGTAGTAATCCACTAGTTCAATCTCCGAACAAGATCATCCAGGCAAATAGGTCGGGCTGGGCTTGGCACATGCAGTTCAAAAGATGGACTATGTTCCAGTTCAAAGAACAAGCCCATTATGAGCACAAGTGGCTTCTGATCCATTGCTTTCAATTTAATCTAAGGTTTGTTTCAGAGTATGGGTGATATGAGTGAACCCCAAGTGCTAATCACCTGAAACAGAACACAGAACAGTTTCCAGAACCAAATTAACCAACGTTTAAAACTTGGTCACAGCATAAGATAATTGTATGCTACCATGAGGTCGTCAATCAAAGGGACCAAAACATGTAACAGTCCCCGTTTAAAGTTTCTTCACCTAAGGCAGATTACAACTAATAGCCACACCCTTAGACCTGCAGAACGAATCTTAATCTGAGACAGTAAAGGCAAAATCAAGATTTACACTTTCTGTAAAACAGCCACCTTGATTAAACCAGCTTTCTTGGCAGGACTATGGAACAGGCTGCTAAGATTTTTTTCAGGAAGCATCATGTTGCTACCAAGGTTTCAGGTCACCAACTGGACCTGCAGTCCAGTTTAAGAGCTTCTCACCTGACTTCAGGTAAACACTTCTATCATGAGGCAACTTTCGTGCAAGTCCATTCAAGACTTGATGGAAAGCATCTCCTGCTTGAGCAGGTTGTGGGAATAGCATCGCCTGCTTCATGGAAGGGTTTGCAAGCAGTCTCTGCTTCCTCAATATTACTTCAGGAGGAATCGAAGTGAGTATGGTGTCCAAATTTGGAACATCTTTCTCGTCTACAAATACCCCAATTTCTTCCCATGGGATTGCATCAGCAAAGGGTAAAACGATGTCATCTGCTATAATAACAGGGATACAACCAAAAATCACTGCTTCGACCAATCTTGGACTCCATGGGGCCCAACCAAGGGGACACAAACAGAAAACAGCTCGTTGCATGTCTTCGTAATACGTTGCTGGGTGCTCTGTGGAAATGTCAAAAAGTGGATTGTCCTTGAAGTTCTCCCAGACCGCTGCTCGTGCACCTCTGTAAACAAATAAAACAAATTGATCAGTGACTTCCACTCAAGCCTCTATCACATAAAGGATCATTACTAAAACATGAAACCAAGCATTTGAATGAAGAAGTCTATCATATTTGACTTCTTTCAGTCTAACTGAAAAATACAAAAGGGTCATGATTCTAGTTTCATAACCATAAACCATACCATACAGGTTTCATTCATGTTGGTAGTTTGTTCAAAAACGCAGTTAAGCCTTCACATTCTATGGAAAAGAGTTAAAATAATTGAACATCTAATCACTTTCTTGAACATATGAGAACTATGTTAGAATTACCTTGCATAGTAGCCACCTTCTGGGTCATTTCCTACATCATAAAACAATCCTCTAAAGTAAACGAAAATTGACCTAGGAGTTTTCTCAGGAATCAGGTGGGTTTGCATTTTCTGTGGAGGAGCATATGGAGGAACTGTAATGGAGCCATCTTTTAAGCAAACATGATTTCTTTGTCCAAAAGTTTGCACTAATGTGGCACGTTGGAGCAAGGGAAGAATTCCTCTTTCGATAGCCTTCTCTTCCTGCAAAAAGCATGAAGAACGGAGAAACGTAAATTAAGAGTTGAAGATGGAAATAAAAAGAAATTGCTGGAATGCAACAATTTATTACCAGTACACATCAACAATTAGATATACCAGAAGATTGAAACCTCATTCGCTCTTCAGAAAACCACAAATTCAGATCAATTGATTCAAAAGTCAAAAAGCATTGAGAAAATTTGTCATCTGAATCTGAAAGAAACAGGGTAAGGTAAAGAAAAAAGGAAAAGGCTCACTAACTTGATAATGGAAGCATGCTCCAAAGTCGTGTGGCACAACAAAAAAGTGGTCAGCACCTTCTGTCCGATTCCAATAAGGCCAGTTTGAAGAAATAAGCTGTATAGCACTTCTCATCATTCGTGGTGATTTGAAAGGCAAAGGAAGGCCATTTGGTGTCAAATCGCAAGTTGTATATACAGGGGTATAAAACCAATCAGCTTCTGCAGGATTGAGGGTTCGAACAGGGCTAGATAATAGAAACCGATGCATAAATATCTCAGCTGCGAACATGTGGGTGAGGCATCTTGGGTCTTTTTGCAGAATCTTCTTATTGTATTTGCTTGGAAGTTCATAGACAAAAACTTTCAATCTTCCGACAGGATCATCTTCCAAAACGTCACCAGCACTACCTGCATGTTGTATAGCCCAATCATAATTAAAGATCTCTCATACACTGAATTCCAAAACAACTTTATAGTTTCAAAATCTACACATTACCAAATTTTGATGCAATAAATCCACTGTATGTAAGAGAAAACTTAACTTTCATTTAAGATAGTAAGAATAAACCTTCATTTTACTCTTTCCTAACCTCCACATTTAGCAAATCACTTCTGATATTGCCAATTGCTTTTATTCTATGTCACATTGTTTTCCAGAAGTCTCTATTCCAAGATGTCATGGGTGTCTAATATAAAATATTTGGACAGTAACATATGGCCAAAGCATTATTATTTTTCAGCTTTTCAATCTCTAACTTGATACAAAATGACCCTTCAATGCGATATAGCTTTCTAGACTTGGGCAGTTCCTCTTCACATTGCATGTAATATAAGAGCATAGTACAAACAGAATCTAAGAACTAGGAAAGCTTTTTCCTCATACCCTATGGCGAACTAATGTCATAATTAATAGAAATGTGCCAGGTATTAGACATTCAGCAATAAACTTAAAGTTGGCAAATCATCCATTTCACTTAAACTTAAGCAGATCACAACATTCCACCAACCAATCTATGTAGCATAACACAACTAAAACAAATCCCAAATACTAACTTAACCAAAACCCTATCTTCAAATGATTAAAACCTTTTACATTACAGTTTAAAGACCATAAATTACCACAAATCAATCTACTAATCAACTGCAAAACTATATTACAACCCAAATAACATTTCTTGTGATTGAAAAATAACATTTCGTAAGGCCATTCCAGTTAGTAAAGAAAATAACTCAGTATAAATGTTAAGCCCCAATGCTTGAATATACACAGTTATACTGATTTAAAATACTAGGATCAATATTGCTGCAGACAATGCTCAAAAAAGTTGGAGAAGTACCTGACTATTATAGTGAAAAAAAGTAAATTACAACCCAAGTTCTCCTAATTTCAGCTACACAGAATAACTTGGAGTGACTATTAGACATTCAACAATCAAACTGAAGTCAGAAAATCATCAATTTTACTTAAATCTAAGTAGATCCCAAAAATCCACCAACCTAACAAAAGTAACTTCAAATGATTAAGACCTACATTACAGTTAAAGGAGCAAAAATTACCACAAATCTATCTACTAATCAACTGCAAAACTATATTAGACGCCAAATAACATAAAACAAGATAAACCCAACAAAAACTTATAAAGTTCAACAAGGAATAATTTAAAGAAAAACAAACCTGAAATCCTCTCGGTGTGTTGACTCCTGCCCAGCTCCACAGCACCAATACTCAATACAAAACCAGCATACCAAATAACCCCAACAAAAACCCACTTCCGAATCTCCATTTTCTTGCTTCTAATCCACTGAAATCACACAAAGAACCAACTTCAAAGAATCAGAGAGACAAGAAAAGGTGGGTGTTTGAGAGGATATGCCCTAAAAGAAGACGACTTTTTTTTAGCTTGTCAGGAGAAAGGAGAGGATTTTATTTTTTTGAAAAACTATTACAGTTGAAATGTCACAAGAAGTAGTAGTTAGGAGAGAGTTTTCTTTATAAGAATTACAAGAAATAGAGAATGAGCAAGAGATTTTGTTAGAAAAGGGCAAGCAAATTTGCTTCAAGAAACACAGAGAGAAGATTCTTGAAGGCTTTTTTTAAGTATTTCTTTCTTTCAAGTTTTGGTGTGCTGTGTGGTTTGATGGAAAGTCCATCTCATTACCAGACCACAGCCTTGCTGTTCAACAATTCAACCTGCTCTGTTTTTGCTTATTTTTTCCTTCTTTCTTTTAATTAATTTTAATGTTTTGTAGTTTTGGATATATTTTTTAATAAATTTGAGGATTTTGTAGTTAAAGCTTTGCTGGTGCCAGCAGAAGTATTCTATTAGTTGCCATTAATGAATTGTTAATCTAGCTAATTAGTGTTGAAGAAAATGGGTGATTAAGTCAAATATGGAACCAAAGTGGTCAAAAAGAGACTCCTAGCATATCCTTGGCCAATACCTTTGTCAGGTGAAAAATATTTGCCAAATTTACTTGGGTTAGAGATTACAATAGTCCCAGTAAAGTATTTGATTCGTTGAATTTAATAAATATTTATGAAAAATATTTAATGTATATTGAAATATTTAAGAATAAAAAAATTTATATTCACTAATATAGTTTCAGAGTATGAATATTCACTTTTTATTTTATTAATACTCACTAATTTATTTAAATTTTTTTAACACATAAAGATCTAATTGTATAAAAATTAAAAATTAAAATTTTTTTTTTTGAAAACTTTAATGACCAAAACAACTTATAAACAAATCACTAAAATGAAAAAAAATAAATTTTAAGGATGAAAAAAACTTTTCTTAAAAATTATAAGGATTAAAATGGATATCTTTGATAAATTAAATTTAATGGCTAAATTATATAAATCGAGTATGAACGGTATAAATTGAGTAAAGATTTATCTAAAAATATTTTAATATAATTAAAATAAAAAATTAAATTAATAAACTGGATAGTTGTCCATTGCCATCTTTGCATGGCCTTGGTTAAGTTATGATATGATGCGGTAATTAGAATTCCACTAGGAAAACAAAAAAAAAAGTGGGATTAATAAATTAAAAAAAAGTGATAAAATATTTTTTTTATAAATTTATTTTTTAAAATTATTCTATATATATATACAGCCACTCTTACACCACAATTTAAAAGTTGAAATTAAATCTGTCGTTCAAAATTACAAACTTTTTTGTTAATCAGAATTACAAACTTCAATGGGAAGAACAAGAATGTAACATGCATACGTTTATGGGGTCTTTGACGTCAACAACTGGTCCTTCACTTTTGGGTCATGGCCCGTGAAGAGATTTGGGGATATTCAATCCAGCTGACCTTTTCATATCATTTCAGCCCAGCCACTAGGCCCAAATCCCTACAATTTTAATGGTTGTTTCATATAAGTCATAAGATGTTATATCGAATAGGTTAGATCAAACCTCCTCAGAATTTTAACTCATTTAAAATTAAATTTTTAAGCTTTTAAATTTAGTTTTAGATACTGATAAATTTTAATTTTTTGAATTTAGTTCATCAAATAATGTTTAGCTATCATTATACCCTCTAAACAATTCAATTCTTGGTATTTTATGCTAAACTTTTACAAACATATTGAAAAAAATTCAATCCATTTTGAAGAAAAATTTCAAAATTTTTTAAAATCAAAAGCTATATATTTTTTATTTTTTAAGCATTACATATAAAAAATTAGAAAAAATAAAAAATATCTCAAAATTATCAAAAAGTTTTTGAGAAGTATAGTATAAATCACGCTAAATGATTTCTAATTTGAAACTATTAATTGTTACATATAGAGTTAGGTGCAGATTTTTGAATCACGTTTATAGAATTGCCACCAACAATGACAGATCTACGTCTAGTGATCTAACCTAAGAATTAAAAATTAAAAATTGATTCTTCGTTTTCCTTTTTCAATGTTGTAGAATGAAAAATTTTAAAAATGGAGTTATGGCACATAAATATTCCAATCCCTTCATTATATATATATATATATATATATATACACATACATACAAGTCCCTTCATTTAGTATACGTAGGGTTTGTTGATTGAGTTAATTGAAACTTAGTCTCCAACCTTTATCATAAATAATTAATTAATCCCGATCGACTGTATTAAAAATAATTAAAAATACCTTAATTTGTTTATTCTTTTTTAAATACCTGCTATATTAATCAAAATTTTCCATATTACCTACTTCTCTTTTATTTTTCTATTATTCAAAAACTTAAAAAAAATATATATAAAATTGATGATGTGGCTAAGTTAATTACCAATGGACTCAAAACCATAATAACGGAAAGATAGTTTTTGAAATTGCAAAGACTAATTAATCATGTTAAACCATAGGAATTAAGTTATAATTAATTTCATGTGGCTGATTTGGTGTAAACGTGAGCTTTGATAACCAGAAGGAAAAAAATAAAATAAAAAACAAAAGTGAAAGAAGGGAAAGACTATATCATTTTGAAAGTATATATGAATAAAGAGAGATACCAACACAGATAAGTATAATCTAACAGTTGTATCTTCCGCAAAAACTTTTAGTTAAACAATTTTGATTTTTAATAACTTCAGTTTATTTTATTATTATGTAATTAAGAAGGTTAAAATTATCTTTCATTGTGTAGTTTAAAACTTACAAATCTCTTTAAAAAAAAATAAAAAAAATCATACCCGCTAATTCTTGCTGGATCACATGTTCACAAAGTCAAAACCTATTTTGCCTTAATTGTCTTCAGCATGAAGACTTCGAGCTTGTTTGGGAATCTAAATCATAACATAGTCTAAAGAGGAATAGGAATTTTATTCATCTGAAAAAAATGCAAAGCCACGTTGCTTCAAAAATGTTAACATGAACAGCTTGAATTGTCACTATCGTGCAAACAAAAGAACGTGGATGACAAGTGTGCTTTTTTATGAATATATTCGTTGGTTTGACAACAAAATGCATGGTAGAAGAATTTTGTTTGTGGTAGATAATTGTCCAGCACATCCAAGAAATATTGAAGGGCTACAAAATGTTGAGTTGTTTTTCTTGCCACCCAACATGACATCAAAAATTCAACCTTGTGATGCTGGAATAATAAGAGCTTTCAAGATGCACTATTGCAGGAGATTCTGCCGTAGGATATTAGAAGGCTATGAGTGGGGGCAATCTGATCTAGGAAAGATTAATGTTTTGGATGCTATCAATCTCGGCTTGGACAATAAATGTTCAACAAGGGACAATAGCAAATTGTTTTCGACATTGCAAAATTCATTCGGGGGAAGAAGTCTCAAGGAATTTAGATGAACTCACTTGTGAAAATGACATTCATGAACTTGAGGTCATGATTAATGATCTCGATTACCGCAATAAAATGGATGTCAATAGCCTGTTGGATTACCCGATGAAAATGATACATGTTCAAAGGTCTAGAGCTTTGAAGAAATTATGGATACCATCCTTCAAAATAATGTTGGTGATGAGTTGAAGACGATACAATGCCTTTGGAACTAGTTACGCATAAGGAAGCACTTATCGCATCTAGGACTCTTCACAATTTTTTGGTGCGGTTCGAGAACACAACACCGGGACTTTTGGATGCAATAAGAAAAATTAGATATGAACTCCAATTAGATTTAAGTTTTAAGAAAAAACAGACAACACTAGAATCATATTTCATTAAATTGTCTTAGTTATATTTGTAATTTTAAAGAATTATTAATTTATGATATTAATGGGGACCATATATTTATATAGGGATTTTCTGAAAATATATTATTTTATTATCTTATCGAAATTTATGATTTTTTCAATTGGTCCAAGTCGAGACTGAAGAAAAATATTATTTTAGAGAGTTTATTAATTTTTCAAGTATTAATTTAAAGAGGTTCTACTGTAATAAATTCGATACTTGTCCGTTGCCATCTTTGCTTCGCCTTGGTTTAAGTTATGATGTGATGTGGTAATTGGAATTCCACTAGAGAAAAAAAAAAAAAAACATTCGGATGAATTAATTAAAAAAAAAGTGCTAAAATATTTTTTATATAAATTTATTTTTTAAAATTATTCTATATATATATACAGCCACTCTTACACCACAATTTAAAAGTTGAAATTAAATCTGTCGTTCCAAATGACAAACTTTTTTGTTAATCAGAATTACAAACTTCAATGGGAAGAACAAGAATGTATTATGCATATATTTGTGGGGTCTTTGACGTCAACAACTGGTCCTTCACTTTTGGGTCATGACCTGTGAAGAGATTTGGGGATATTCAATCCAGCTGACCTTTTCATATCATTTCAGCCCAGCCACTAGGCCCAAATCCCTATAATTTTAATGGTTGTTTCATATAAGTCATAAGATGTTGTATAAAATAGGTTAGATCAAACCTCCTAAGAATTTTAACTCATTTAAAATTAAATTTTTAAGCTTTTAAATTTAGTTTTAGAGACTGCTAAATTTTTATTTTTTGAATTTAGTTCATCAAATAATGTTTAGCTAAATGTTTGCAAACATATTGAAAAAAATTCAATCCATTTTTAAGAAAAATTTCAAAATTTTTTAAAATCAAAAGCTATATATTTTTTATTTTTTAAGCATTACATATAAAAATTTAGAAAAAATAAAAAATATCTCAAAATTATCAAAAAGTTTTTGAGAAGTATAGTATAAATCACGCTAAATGATTTCTAATTTGAAACTATTAATTGTTACATATAGAGTTAGGTGAAGATTTTTGAATCACGTTTATAGAATTGCCACCAACAATGACAGATCTA